GTCTGCAAACAAGTTGTTACAAATCTGTTCACAAGCTGTCAACAAGTTATGTTCACACTGTTTGTTCCCAGTTGTAACAAGTTTGGAACAAGCTGTTAACAACTTGTAACAAGCTTGATGCCATTATCAGACTTGTAGCAAAGTTGTTCTAACAAGTCCGATACAGTCACCATAAACAAGAATGTTACAAGGTTGATGACACAAGGTTGTAACAATATTGTTATATCATGATTGTATTGGACTTGTTGTAACAACCTTTCAAACAAGTCTGATAATATCAACAAGGTTGTTACAGTACAAGTTGTTAACAGTTTGTTCCAAACTTGTTGACAACTTGGGACAAGCAGTGCGAAGACAACTTGTTGGTGGCTTGTTGGCAGATTTACTACGAGACTTTTGTGTGGGTATGCCGTGGTTATTGTTGAGACACCGGAACTTTAAGTTATATGGTTATGCATCCGACAAAATTGTTTTTCTCGTTCTTTAATTATAAATATGCTAAAATTATACCGAGGGCCATTCCATTTAATATCCACCCCTCCTGTGGACAAGGTCTCTTATTTTAGACCCCTTCAGAAACGGTTTTCTGCCAATGCCCTTCAGAAATTCTTTAAATTTACCAAATACCCTCGGAAAAATTTTCTCAACCCCCTTGGAAATACACTTTTGGAAATCTTTCCATTTTTTTCCATGACCCCTCCACCAAAAACAAATTTCCATGAATTGTTAGTGACCCCTTTGGAAATCGTCAATATTTTCCTGACCCCCTCAGAAATTTTTCAGTTAAAATTCCCCTCGGAAATTGTGATTTTCAAGACTCTTGAGAAATTACAATTTTGGGGCCCCTTTGGAAAAGTGGAATTTTCTACCCCCTCGGAAAATTTCATCTATGTGGGGGGGGGGGCAGGTGTAGATATTAAATGGAATGTCCCCAAACCCACCAGACACAGGACATTGTTTCAATGTTGCAATTCGGTTGGAAAAAACATTGCAACGTCGCCACCTAACATCAGTGATGTCTTACAAACGGGGTGTACCACGTAAAAGTCATACGCTCCTGACTGTGCTGTCATTTATCATGTTGTTCGTGATTTTTTCAGAATGACAGAACTGTGGGATTACCCAAAATATGGATGTCCATTCAAACGTGGGGGAGTGTACTACTACTTCTATAACAGTGGTCTGCAGAATCAAAGGTATGTCTTTTATCCAGATTATTTTACTCATCAAGGGGAAAGTGCTTCCACTTAATGGTTAATCAAAAGTGTTATAAAGTCTGATCGAATACAAACAATGAAAGTATAATATGGACGTGTTTACACTGACAATTCATTAATACACAAAAATGCACATATCTGACAAACCTATATGCTACAAACCTATTGCAAATGCATCTTGTTGACAAGTTGTTGGAACAGCATTGTCATAACTTGTTAACAAGCTTGCTACAAACCTATTGCAAACGCATCTTGTTGACAAGTTGTTGGAACAGCATTGTCACAACTTGTTAACAAGCTTGCTACGAGGTTGTTGAGGAGACATCTTGTTGACAAGTTGTTGGAACAGCATTGTCACAACTTGTTAACAAGCTTGCTACAAGCCTGTTGAGCAGACATCTTGTTGACAAGTTGTTGGAACAGCATTGTCACAACTTGTTAACAAGCTTGCTACAAGCATATTGAGGAGACCTCTTGTTGACAAGTTGTTGGAACAGCATTGTCACAACTTGTTAACAAGCTTGCTACAAGGCTGTTGAGGAGTCATCTTGTTAACAAGTTGTTGGAACAGCATTGTCACAACTTGTTAACAAGCTTGCTACAAGGTTGTTGAGGAGACATCTTGTTGACAAGTTGTTGGAACAGCATTGTCACAACTTGTTAACAAGCTTGCTACAAGCATATTGAGGAGACATCTTGTTGACAAGTTGTTGGAACAGCATTGTCACAACTTGTTAACAAGCTTGCTACAAGCCTGTTGAGCAGACATCTTGTTGACAAGTTGTTGGAACAACATTGTCACAACTTGTTAACAAGCTTGCTGCAAGCATATTGAGGAGACATCTTGTTGACAAGTTGTTGGAACAGCATTGTCACAACTTGTTAACAAGCTTGCTGGAAATCTATTGCAAAACATCTTGTTGACAAGTTGTTGGAACAGCATTTTCACAACTTGTTAACAAGCTTGCTACAAACCTGTTGAGGAGTCATCTTGTTGACAAATTGTTGGAGCAGCATTGTCACAACTTGTTAGCAAGCTTGCTACAAGTCTGTTGAGGAGAGATCTTGTTGGCAAGTTGTTGGAGCAGCATTGTCACAACTTGTTAACAAGCTTGCTACAAGCCTGTTGAGGAGACATCTTGTTGACAAGTTGTTGGAACAGCATTGTCACAACTTGTTAACAAGCTTGCTGCAAACCTGTTGAGGAGTCATCTTGTTGACAAATTGTTGGAACAGCATTGTCACAACTTGTTAACAAGCTTGCTACAAACCTGTTGAGGAGTCATCTTGTTGACAAATTGTTGGAGCAGCATTGTCACAACTTGTTAGCAAGCTTGCTACAAGTCTGTTGAGGAGAGATCTTGTTGGCAAGTTGTTGGAGCAGCATTGTCACAACTTGTTAACAAGCTTGCTACAAGCCTGTTGAGGAGACATCTTGTTGACAAGTTGTTGGAACAGCATTGTCACAACTTGTTAACAAGCTTGCTGCAAACCTGTTGAGGAGTCATCTTGTTGACAAATTGTTGGAACAGCATTGTCACAACTTGTTAACAAGCTTGCTACAAGTCTGTTGAGGAGACATCTTGTTGACAAGTTGTTGGAACAGCATTAATTGTCACAACTTGTTAACGAGCTTGCAACAAACCTGTTGAGGAGACATCTTGTTGACAAGTTGATGGAACAGCATTGTCACAATTTGTTAACAAGCTTGCTACAAGCCTGTTGAGGAGACATCATGTTGACAAGTTGTTGGAACAGCATTGTCACAACTTGTTAACAAGCTTGCTACAAGGCTGTTGAGGAGTCATCTTGTTGACAAATTGTTGGAACAGCATTGTCACAACTTGTTAACAAGCTTGCTACAAGGCTGTTGAGGAGTCATCTTGTTGACAAATTGTTGGAACAGCATTGTCACAACTTGTTAACAAGCTTGCTACAAGGCTGTTGAGGAGTCATCTTGTTGACAAATTGTTGGAACAGCATTGTCACAACTTGTTAACAAGCTTGCTACAAGGCTGTTGAGGAGTCATCTTGTTGACAAATTGTTGGAACAGCATTGTCACAACTTGTTAACAAGCTTGCTACAAGGCTGTTGAGGAGTCATCTTGTTGACAAATTGTTGGAACAGCATTGTCACAACTTGTTAACAAGCTTGCTACAAGGCTGTTGAGGAGTCATCTTGTTGACAAATTGTTGGAACAGCATTGTCACAACTTGTTAACAAGCTTGCTACAAGGCTGTTGAGGAGTCATCTTGTTGACAAATTGTTGGAACAGCATTGTCACAACTTGTTAACAAGCTTGCTACAAGGCTGTTGAGGAGTCATCTTGTTGACAAATTGTTGGAACAGCATTGTCACAACTTGTTAACAACCTTGCTACAAGTCTGTTGAGGAGACATCTTGTTGACAAGTTGTTGGAACAGCATTAATTGTCACAACTTGTTAACGAGCTTGCAACAAGCCTGTTGAGGAGACATCTTGTTGACAAGTTGATGGAACAGCATTGTCACAATTAATTTGTTAACAAGCTTGCTACTAGCCTGTTGAGGAGACATCTTGTTGGCAAGTTTTTGGAGCTTGGAAGATGGTACCTCCTCGCAGAACTGTTTGCACTGAATCAATAGAGCTATCCAGTATAGGAGACAGCTATATGGATTCAAAGAGATAGATCTACCCAGGATCTACCTGAGAAATATAAGCAGAACTTCAGCATTTTGAGAGTCGGAAAGTTATAGTAGTCCGTATAAGTATAAGTATAAGTATAAGTAAAGCTACTGTAGTTTGTGTTAAGAGTAGAGAATTGTTCATTTTAGCGTGTTGTACTGTAAGGAAACTATCGATGGTGAAGCAAAAGTATTTCTGGATCCAAATGCGCTCTCTGAAGAAGGCAACATATCTCTGAGGGGTTACGCTTTTTCCGAGGATGGGAGGTCATTCGCATACGGTCTGAGTGAAAGCGGATCTGACTGGGTCACAATACATGTAGGTTTTTATAATTATATTATTTGTAATTAATATGATGATCAACTAACTACATGATAATGAGTTTACTGTTTTGAGACCGAAGATACAAAAGAGTAATGGCGTTTTTGTTTGCACGAATTTCGCTCCAGTTTGTGTCCAATGAGGCCAAAAGTAGTGTTGAAAATAAAAATTTTAAAATAAAAACTATAAAAATATTTTAAAAAATATACAAGGTGTCTAGCTTTTATATTAAAATTTGAATTTGTCGCCTAAGTTAGGCTTTATTTTCAACAGTAGCTTTTGGTTTCATTCGAACGCACAACACTATAGTCTCATATACTGTAATGCTACTGAAGGACAACTTTGTACGTCTAATTGTGACTCTTTTGCGCCGTTTTCAAACCGTAGTGTGAAGTAGTTTAAAAAATGTAATCTATTTGTGTTGATAATTTTAGTTCAAAACAACTGGTGCTGATACAAAAGACCTTCCAGACACATTGAAACAAGTCAAGTTCACCAGTATGGATTGGACACACGATCATAAAGGAATCTTCTATAATGTAAAATGAAATTATGATTTACTTGGCTTGAAACTGTAATGATGAGTTTCTAGAGAGCTTGAGCTTCGCGTTACACGTCAAACGGCAAATGCCAGGCAAATAAACATTTTACGGTATCAGGCAATAAAGAGTAAATGAACTTCCTGTTTTAAAACTGAAATGCATGATTATTCTTTCGACGCAAGGAAGAAAATATGAAACGAAAACGTTCAACGAAAATTTTGCCAAGAAAGTTCGAACCTGCCGTTTGCCGTTCCCGGCAAAGCTTACTGTAAACTCCCTAATCACAAATTGTGTGAGATAATTATACGAATACAGTAATGTCTTGTTCGTTATGTAATATATCTAATCCGACTGTGGGGACTTTACTGCATGGATGTCATTATCTGGTAAAGTCCGAATTGTCAGTATGACATGAGACCTGTGAATTAATTTTGAAGAAGTGAGGTGAATTAATTTTGATCCATGCAGTCCTAGGATTCAATTAATTTGTTAACAAAATAAAGTAATATGGTTGACTACTATATGAATTATAAACCCTTAAACTGATGTGCAATGCGCCCCCATGTGCCCTACTTTAGTATTTACTCTGTCTAACCCAAGACGATTTTACTCATCAAGGAAAGAGTTTTGGACGTTAATGGGCTAATGAGTTGTTGTTTCCTTGTCTTGTTAAACAGAGATACCCCAAGACTTCTGATAAAAGTGATGGAACCGAAACAGATCTAAATTTAAATCAAAAGGTGGATTCATTTAACATTGTCATAAAATGTGGTCTTTTCGTGTTGTCATATTTCATAGTCGACTAAATTTCAATTTCTTTCAGTTGTATTATCACTTACTGGGGACGGACCAAGACGAAGATATTTTATGCTGTGAATTTATTGACAACCCAAAGTGGATGATGTATGATATTTTGTTCAATTTTGTTTCTGTTCATTTAAACCCTGTGCATGGTCTTTGCTTATTAGAACTTTGCAGGTCAGCAGGTTTGATTCCTGCTAGATGGCCTGTAGTTGCATTTCTATTATCTAACTCTTCTAAAGAGTCTCACTTAAACACGGGGTTGAAATTTGATTTGGGAAAATTTCGACCAAATCTAAAAAAAGCATTCTTCATATAGTCATAGGAAGGTTCAAAGCGCATAGTGACTTAGAAAATTTCGTTCAAGACATTTTTAAATCACACTCTGACTTTTCATGGTCTGACACTGCTTAGTCGTATGCAAAAGTGATTTCTTATCCGTATTTAAAATGAACTTGTCCGAATTTTTTCTATAAATTCTACTACGCTATCCGTTGTCCAGATTTCAGAGCCAACAATACTGACATATTAACTTGAAATTTCGACTCAAAATTTGACTTTGACGATTTTGACAAGGTATCATAGATGAGTCGGGTATCATATAAATAGCCCCTAGGTTGACATAGAGTTCGTGGGCAGACAAGAAAACAAAGTTATACGAAACGTTTTTATTGTTTCGTTCTAGTGGTGCTGAAGTAAGCGACTGTGGTCGTTATGTTGTACTGACAATACGTCAGGGATGTGATCCTGTTAATAAACTTTACTACTGTGATCTGCATACTTTGAAAGATGGAATAACAGGTGACGAATAGACCTTATGCATAATGACGTCATAAGGCTTGATGCCCGCGAGGAATGCTGGTCTTAGTAGTCATCGCCCGGGAAAATTAAACAATTCAAAATGGTCACTATCGAAATTTTCCCGGGCGATGACTACTAAGACCAGCATTCTTCGCGGGCGTCAAGCCTTGTGACGTCGTTATGCATCAGAAGGTCTATTGGACGTGATTTGATGTCTTTGTTCGAGGGAGTCGTATTTTTAAACATTCAGTTTTACGCAAGAACGTCACGGGAACCATACAGCTGTTGTCGAGTTCAAGTCACTATTCAACGCGCGGGTCCCAAGTTCGTTGCGAACTTGCCAATTTTGTTTTCACGTTTGAAAACTGGGCGTGAACTTCGCAACGAAGTTCGCAAGTACATTTCAATGTTTGAACTTCTTTTTAAAAACAGATTTTCATACTCAATAATAGTAACCAATTCGATGAAGTACAAACCTTCTTGGTAGACCACTGGACCAACAACTTTCCATTGAATTGTTAATTTCAACTTGATTATGAACAATTGTCACACCAGAAGTTCAAACATTCAAATGAACTTGCGAACTTCGTTGCGAAGTTCACGCCCAATATCCGAACTTGGAATTTATTTTGCCATGTTCGCGACGAACTTGGGAATGGGCGTTGAAAAGTGATCTGAAATCGACAATAAGGTTGCATCTAATTTTAAGTGATGCACCACAAGCATTCGACATTAGTCTATCAAGGGAGGTATGTCGTGCCGGGATAGGGTAGTTAGTCATCCCCCCGGTTAGGGTGAGGGTGCCATGGCCCGGTTAGTTTTAGAGGGTTAAATGGTTAGGGGTTCATGGTCAGGGTGTGGAGGGGGGGGGGGGGGCTTTAATTTTTTTACATTCGTCAAAAATGATCACATATGCATTATTTGCATGAATTATTAATGATTTCAGTTTAAGATTGAAAATGAAAAAATCCACACAAGCGAAATTATAGCCATTTGAAATGTGCAAAAAAGCACCAAAAGCGAAGCCAGTCAATCGTCTTTGCTAAATCCAGCACAAACTCCAGTATTTTTAAGAGTTAATTTCTCAAAGAGGATACATGATATTACATATCTATCCTTCGTGAAACTGCTAGTCCTGCAGAAGTATGCTATACGGCGGCAGTAATTTTCTAGGTTGAAACTAATTTCGGCGGGAGAAAAATGAATGACAACCTTTTTTCTAATCGGTCTATAATCTACACAAATTGCGAAAAATAATGTTTTAAGATTATTTATTATATGGCTTTTCAAAATTCTCTATTCTGATTGGTTGACAAGCGGTCCGTAACAACCCATGTCCGGACCGTGGTCCGTATTTTCCGTATCTGCCCTGGTGTCCCGGATGTCGTTTATCTGGCGGGAAATTTTTGCTTTGCAAAGAGAAAAAATTTTTGCTTTTTAATTTTCCAATTGTGTGTCATTAAAATTTACAGATAAAAATTTCAAACAACAAAATTGTTTTTGATTGAGCATGCATGCCTACCGTATATTGTTACCCAGTGAAACTGACGATAGCCGATTTAATTCGTGCGAAAAGCATATGCTCACAGACTCAGTTCAGCCATATACAGTAATAAACCGATTATTGACCTCGCTTGTTCGGTCTGTACTGTGAAATATCAGACCTCTGTTTTTTTGCATGGACCTCTCTCCTTCGTCGCTCGGTCATACTAAAAAACTTCCTGGTTTTTTTTTTCAGAATGTGTTATATTTACATCGATTATCAGATGGCTCACTAATCAAGGAACTTCCCCTGGACATTGGTAGTATTGTTGGATTTTCTGGCAAGAAAAAACAAACTGAAGTAAGTAATTTATAGATGGGCGGTAACTGTAATCGTCAAAATCTCGTAAATTTCGTCACATTTTAGTAGCTATATCATTTATAATTTTTAATCGGTGAAG